GGGTTGCTGGGCTCCACACTGGGCATGGAGCCTGCTTAAGATTCTGTCTCTCCTTCTCCCTCTGCCCCTCCCCTCTCCTCTCTAAATAAATAAATAAATAAACAAGCAAGCATTCTTGATAAAAACATTCAATAAGATAGGGGTAAATACTTCTTTAACATGAAAAAAAACTATCTTAGTCCAAAAGCCAACATCAAACTCAATGGGGAAACACTAGAAATATTTCTATCAGACTTTGAAACAAGACAAAGATGATCACTTGAATATTATTTAACACTTTACAGGACATATTAGTCAAATCAACTAGATAAAATAAATCAGAAGCGTGAAATTTGGAAGAGAGAAACGTTGGCAGGTGATATAATTGTATATCTAGAAAATCTAAGAAAATCAACTGAAAAACTACTATAAGTCATAAAAAAAACACAGTAAACTCATAGGGAACAAAATCAACATACAAAAGTCGAGTTTTCTCAATATAAATTATATGATAGAAAAAATACCCTATTTATAATAGCAACAACAACAAAAAGTTAAATACCTTGGAATGAACATAACAAATATTCAGGGACGCCTGGATGACTCAGTCAGTTAAGCATCTGCCTTCAGCTCAGGTGATGATCCTGGGGTCCTGGGATCGAGTCCCATGTTGGTCTCCCTGCTCAGCTGGGAGCCTGCTTCTCCCTCTCCCTCTGCCTGCCACTCTGCCTACTTGTGATCTCTCTCTCTCTCTCTCTGTGTCAAATAAATATTTTTTTAAAAAAAGAAATAGTCAAAGCCTATGTGAAGAAAAAATTTCAAACACTACTAAACACTATCCAAAAGAAAACTTGAACAAGTAGAAATATAACATGCTCTTGGATAGGAATACTCAACATCACAAAAATGTCAGTTCTCCATAACTTAATTAAAAAAATTTTTTTTAAAGATTTTATTTATTTATTCATGAGAGACAGAGAGAGAAGCAGGCTCCCAAGGAGCAGGGAGCCCAATGTGGGACTCGATCCCTGGACCCTGGGATCATGACCTGAGCCGAAGGCAGACGCTTAACCATCTGAGCCACCCAGGTGCCCTAAAATTTTTAATGTGAGTGACCCAACAGGCTTTTTATTATTAACTAGATAAATTGATTCTAAAGTTTACCTAGAAAAAGAAAGGGGCAAGAATAATGACAAAAAGTGTGAAAAAGAAGAACAATGATGGGAGAGGTGGATCTGCACTACCAGATATTAAAAGATGTTATGAAGCCTCAGTAAGCAGAACAGTGTAATGTTGTCATGAACATACATAGACAGCTAATGGAGTAGGATATAATTTCCAAAAATAGTTGCAAAATCATACACAGACACAATATAATAAAGCTGACATCTCATTGGAGAAAATATGGATTACTAAATACTAGGACAAATGAATAGCCACTTAGACAAAATGAAGTCAAAACCATTCTCATGTCTCACTGGGTTAATTTCAAATGCATAAAAGACTTAACTTTTCTAAAAATACCTTTCATCTTGTAGTGAGGAAAAGCCTATCACTCGAAATCCAGAAGCTGTGAAGGATTAATAAGTTTAATCATCCAAAAATAAACTCTGATGTTTTAAAAACATAAGTCAAAAAAAGAAATAATAAACTCGGAGGAATGTTTTCATATGAGATCACAAAGGAATAATCTCCCTCATATATAAAGAGCCACCAGATATCAATAAGTAACCCAAAAGAAAATAGGCAAAGGATATGAATTCAAAGAAATATAAATGAATCTTAAACATATGAAACAAAAATCCAAAGTTTGATAACACATTCTCCTTGCAAGACTAGGGAAACAGGCATTTCAAACATTAGTGGTAGGAGTGTACACACATAAGTTCTACAAAAAGCAATCTTAAAATATCTATTTAAATTAAATAAATACATATATTTTTAATATGGATTGACTTTCATCTCTGAAAAATGACATCTGAACAAAGCCATTCATCACTGTCTGTTTGTAGCAGTAAAAGATTAGAAGCAACTCAAACGTCCTTCAATAAGTGGCTGGAAATAGAAATTTTAGGACATCCATAAAATAAAACGTTGTGGGGAGAAGGAGCAAGATGGCAGAGGAGTAGGAGAACAAAATTTCGTCTGGTCCCAGGAATTCAGCTAGATAGGTATCAAACCATTCTGAACACCTACAAACTCAACAGGAGATCAAAGAAAAGAATAGCAGCAACTCTATGAACAGAAAAGCGACCACTTTCTAGAAGTGCATATTTTTCTGGGGTCGTTGTTACACTTTTAGCATTTTGTTCTCTCATTCATCTATTCACCTCTGGACAAAATGACAAGATGGAAAAACTCACCTCAAAAAAAAGAACAAGAGGCAGTACTGACTGCCAGGGACCTAATCAATATGGACATTAGTAAGATGTTGGAACTAGAGTTCAGAATGATGATTTTAAAGATACTAGCTGGGCTTGAAAAAAGCATGGAAGATACTAGAGCATCCCTTTCTGGAGAAATAAAAGAACTAAAATCTAACCAAGTTGAAATCAAAAAGTCTATTAAGGAGGTGCAATAAAAAATGGAGGCTCTAACTGCTAGGATAAATGAGGCAGAAGAGAGAATTGGTGATACAGAAGACCAAATGATGGAGAATAAAGAAACTGAGGAAAAGAGAGATAAACAAGTACTGGATCACAAGGGCAGAATTCGAGAGATAAGTGATACCATAAGATGAAACAATATTAGAATAATTGGTATCCCAGAAAAATAAAGAGATAGAGGGGCAGAAGGTATATTGGAGCAAATTATAGCAGAGAACTTCCCTAATTTGGGGAGGGGAACAGGCACCAAAATCCAGGAAGCACAAAGAACCCCCCTCAAAATCAATAAAAATAGGTCAACACCCCAACATTTAATAGTAAAACTTACAAGTCTCAGAGACAAAGAGAAAATCCTGAAAGCAGCTCGGGACAAGAGGCCTGTAACCTACAACAGTAGAAATATTAGATTGGCAGCAGACCTATCCACAGAGACCTGGCAGGCCAGAAAGGATTGGCAGGATAGATTCAGAGCACTAAATGAGAAAAATATGCAGCCAAGAATACTATATCCAGCTAGGCTCTCATTGAAAATAGAAGGAGAGATAAAAAGCTTTCAGAACAAACAAAAACTAAAAGAATTTGCAAACACCAAACCAGCCCTACAAGAAATATTGAAAGGGGTCCTCTAAGCAAAGAAAGAGCCTAAAAGTAACATAGACCAGAAAAGAACAGAGACAATATACAGTAACAGTCACCTTATAGGCAATACAATGGCACTAAATTTGTATCTTTCAATAGTTACTCTGAATGTAAATGGGAGAAATGCCCCAATCAAAAGACACAAGGTATCAGATTGGATAAAAAAACAAGACCCATCGATATGCTGCCTGCAAGACACTCATTTTAGACCCAAAGACACCTCCAGATTGAAAGTGAGGGGGTGGAAAACCATTTACCATGTTAATGGACATCAAAAGAAAGCTGGGGTGGCAATCCTTATATCAGACAAATTAGATTTTAAACCAAAGACTATCATAAGAGGTGAGGAAGGACACTATATCCTACTTAAAGTGTCTATCCAACAAGAAGATCTAACAATTGTAAATATCTATGCCCCTAACATGGGAGCAGCCAATTAATAACAAAATCAAAGAAACACATCGACAACAATACAATAATAGTAGGGGACTTTAACACCCCCCTCACTGAAATGGACAGATCATCGAAGCAAAAGATCAACAAGAAAATAAAGGCTTTATTTTTTTTTTAAAGATTTTATTTATTTATTTGACAGAGAGAGACACAGCGAGAGAGGGAACACAAGCAGGGGCAGTGGGAGAGGGAGAAGCAGACTTCCCGCAGAGGAGGGAGCCCGATGTGGGGCTTGATCCCAGGACACTGGGATCATGACCTGAGCCGAAGGCAGACGCTTAACAACTGAGCCACCCAGGCGCCTGGAAATAAAGGCTTTAAATGACACACTGGACCAAATGGACTTCACAGATATATTCAGAACATTCCATCCCAAAGCAACAGATAATAATAATTATTACTCTAATGATTATCCTCATTTACACATTAAGAAAATGAGGCTTAGATGGTGCAGCCACTCTGGAAAACAGTATGGAGTTTCCTCAAAAAGTTGAAAATAGAGCTACCCTACGACCCAGAAATTTCACTACTGGGTACTTACCCCAAAGATACAAATATAGTGATCCGAAGGTGCACATGCACCCCAATGTTTATAGCAGCAATGTCCACAATAGCCAAACTATGGAAAGAGCCTAGATGTCCATCAACAGATGAACAGATAAGAAAGATATGGTATATATATACAATGGAATATTATGCAGCCATCAAAAAAAAAAACCCCACGAAATCTTGCTATTTGCAACGATGTGGATGGAACTAGAGGGTATTATGCTAAGTGAAATAAATCAATCAGAGAAAAACAAGTATCATATGATCTCACTAATACGAGGAATTTAAGAAACAAGACAGAGGAGCATAGGGGAAGGGAGGGAAAAAATGCAACAAGATGAAACAAGAGAGGGAGACAAATCATAAGAGACTCTTAATCTCAGGAAACAAACTGAGGGTTGCTGGAGTGGTGGGGGGTGGGAGGGATAGGGTGGCTGGGTGATGGACATTGGGGAGGGTATGTGCTATGGTGAGCGCTGTGAATTGTGTAAGACCAATGAATCACAGACCTGTACCTCTGAAATAAATAACACATGATATGTTTAAAAAAAAAAAAGAAGATAGTAGGAAGGGAAAAATGAAGGGGGGAAATCGGAGGGGAGGATGAACCATGACAGACTATGGACTCCGAGAAACAAACTGAGGGTTTTAGAGGGGAAGGGGGTGAGGGTATGGGTTAGCCCGGTGGTGGGTATTAAGAGGATACGTATTGCATGGAGCACTCACTGGGTATTATACGCAAACAATGAATCATGGAACACTACATCAAAAACTAACATAATAAAATAAAATAAAATAAAATAAAATAAAATAAAATAAAATAAAATAAAATAAAATAAAACATTATGCAGCTGCAAAAAGGAATGAGGAAGCTCTATATGTTTTAATATGGAAAGATCTCCAAGATACACTTTTTTGAGAGAGAGAGCAAGCAGCAGGGAGGTGGGATGTAGGTGGGGGCAGAGGGAGAGAGAGAGAATCTTCAGCAGGTTCCATGCTCAATGTGGAGCCCAATGGCAGGGCTTGATCTGACAACCCTCAGATCATGACCTGAGCTGAAATTGAGAGTTGGATGCTTAACTGACTGAGTCACCCAGTCACCCCTCCAAGATACACTTTTAAATGAGAAAAACAAAGTGCAGAACAGTGGATATTCTGCTATCTTCTGTGTAAAGAAAGAAGAAAAACAAGAATCTATCTGTATTTGTATTTGTTTATATATACATAAAGAATCTAGAAAGATATAAAAGAAATTAAGGAGGTGACTGGGTAGATGGAGGTAGAAAATGGAAGGGAGGTTTTCAGTGATTATCTCTTTATACATTTTAATTGTTGAGCCATCTGACTATATTGCCATAGAAGAAGAAGAGAAGAAGAACTAGAGGGGAGGTGGTTTTTATTAACATAACCACCAAAGAACTGAAAATTGAATGAAGTCTACATCCCAACCATTTTTGAAAATCATGGAAATTTTCAGTGTTTGTTCATAGTTCCCTTTCAGCCATAAAGTATAAGTGAATTTCTCCTGCTGCCGTAGAATTGTGGACACCTGATTATGGTGAATTATTGTCCTGGATCCATTTAGGCTAAAGAGGTAACAGATGACATCTTTTCAATTCTTGTGGCAACACTGCTGACTATTGCCTAAAACCTGTGGGAAGAGAATGGACAATCAACACACATGCAGGTCAGTCTTTAAAATCATTATATAAGATTACAGATATTAGAGATGCCGTTATCCTTTTAAATTAGTTCACAGAGGGGCGCCTGGGTGGCTCAGTTGGTTAAGCGACTGCCTTCGGCTCAGGTCATGATCCTGGAGTCCTGGGATCGAGTCCCATGTCGGGCTCCCTGCTCAGCAGGGAGTCTGCCTCTCTCTCTGACCCTCCCCCCTCTCATGCTCTCTATCTCATTCTCTCTCTCAAATAAATAAATAAAACCTTTAAAAAAAATTAGTTCACAGAGCCTATTAATAAGATAAAAAGTTAAGGTGTAACCTATGATTCCTTGCAATTATCTGTTTATCCATTCTGCAATTTTCTTGCAGATAACTAACAATGCCCTTTCATTTATTACTAGGTCAACACAAGCCAGTTTGTCAATTATTTCTTATTTCTAAAATATTGTTCATGTCAATGTTCAAGAAAAAAAGAAAATAAAGAGAAAAGGAAAAGGTAAAAATAAAGTTCATATATCTTACATCAAAAGCGTGAAGTGTCTGCCTTCAGCTCAGGTTATGATCCCAGGGTCCTGGGATCTAGTCCTGCATCAGGCTCCCTGCTCAGCAGGAAGCCTGCTTCTCCCTCTGCCTCCGCTTGTGCTCTCTCTCTCTCTCTCTCAAATAAATAAAGTCTTAAAAAAAAAACAAAACTGGGCAGCATATGTGATAGAAGCAGGGACTTTACAGTTATGTAAATACATTTGTAGAAAAAGTAGCCCTTGCTTCCATCTTGCTACCATGACACCAAAGGGATGATGATAAAGTTTCTACAATGAACATGTATTACTTGTATTTTTTAAAAGATTGTTTATTTATTATAGAAAGAGTTGGGGGGGGAGGGGCAGAGAAAGAGAAAGAATCTCAAGCAGACTCCCTGCTGAGTATAGAGTCTCATGCAGGGCTTGATCTCATCACGGCCCTGAGATCATGACCTGAGCTGAAACCAAAAGTTCGATGCTTAACCGACTGAGCCACCCAGGTATTACTTTTATAATTAAGAAGAGGGAAGATTTTTTTTTAATGTAAACATGTATAAGCTGAGTGTGGAGATAGCCCTGAATGTTAATGCTGATCCTGTCATTTATCTGCAAGATCTTAGAGTCTGTTTTCCCATCTGTAAACTGAGGGCAATCATACCGCTTTGCAGGGTTAAAGTTAGTTATGGATGAGACTATGTGAAGGGCTAAGTACAGGCTCTGGCACAGAGTGGGCACACAGTGAGAGAGATTCTCATCCCCCACGCACCTGGTAGAGGCAGGACCCATGGAATCCAAGCCTGGTTGGTGCCGTATTTCCTAAGTTCCTCTATCTGGGCTATTCTATGGCTGTGCCAAAGCACAGGTACTTGCCCCTGCCTGTTGGGAGAACCCTGGTTATTAATCCATACCCATGGCGTGATTGTAATTAGGAAACCCGGAATTTCTGGAGATAAACTAGCTCTGTTCAGATCCCAGAAGGGTGTTTCCCTTTTTCTGTGAATGAGGTTTCAGTGCAAGAAACTGAAATGTCTCTAGAAGTATATAATATAGAGAACTGAGAACTTACAAAAAGCTTGGAAGAGCAGAGAGAAATACATAGCCATCAAAGCCTCACTCAAAAAAATAGAAAAATCCCGAATTCACCAACTAACTTTACATCTTAAAGAACTAGAGAAAAAGCAACAAATGATGCCTAAGCCACGCATTAGAAGAGAAATAATTAAGATTAGAGCAGAGATCAATGAATTAGAAACCGGAAACACAGTAGATCAGCAATGAAACTAGAAGCTGGTTCTTCGAAAGAATTAATAAGATCGATAAACCACTGGCCAGACTTATCCAAAAGAAAAGAGAAAGGACCCAAATTAATAAAATTATGAATGAAAGGGGAGAGATCACGACTAACACCAAGGAAATAGAAACAATTATTAGAAATTATTATCAACAACTATATGCCAATAAACTGAGCAATCTGGATGAAATGGAGGCCTTCCTGGAAACCTATAGGCTGCCAAGACTGAAACAGGAAAAAATTGACAACCTGAATAGGCCAATAACCAGTAACGAGATTGAAGCAGTGATCAAAAACCTCCCAAAAAACAAGAGTCCAGGGCCTGATGGATTCCCTGGGGAATTCTACCAACCATTCAGAGAAGAAATAATACCTAATCTACTGAAGCTGTTTCAAAAAATAGAAACAGAAGGAAAACTTCCAAACTCATTCTATGAGGCCAGCATTACCTTAATCCCCAAACCAGGCAAAGACCCCATCAAAAAGGAGAATTTCAGACCAATATCCCTGATGAATATGGATTCCAAAATCCTCAACAAAATCCTAGCTAATAGGATCCAACAATACATTAAAAGGATCATCCACCATGACCAAGTGGGATTTATCCCCAGGATGCAAGGGTGGTTCAACATTCGCAAATCAATCAATGTGATAGAACACATTAATAAGAGGAGGAAGAAGAACCATATGGTCCTCTCAATTGATGCAGAAAAAGCATTTGACAAAATACAACATCCTTTCCTGATTAAAACTCTCCAGAGTATAGGGATAGAGGGAACATTCCTCAAGTTCATAAAATCCATCTATGAAAACCCCACAGCGAATATCATCCTCAATGGGGAAAAGCTGAGAGCCTTTCCCTTAAGATCAGGAACACGTCAAGGATGCCCACTCTTGCCACTATTGTTCAACATAGTACTAGAAGTCCTAGCAACAGCAATCACACAACAAAAAGAAATAAAAGGTATTCAAATTGGCAAAGAAGAAGTCAAATTCTCTTTTCGCAGACAACATGATACTTTATGAGGAAAACCCAAAAGACTCCACCCCCAAATTACTAGAACTCATACAGCAATTCAGTAATGTGGCAGGATACAAAATCAATGCACAGAAATCAGTTGCTTTCTTATACACTAACAATGCAACAATAGAAAGAGAAATTAGAGAATCGATTCCATTTACAGTAACACCAAAAACCGTAAGATACCTCAGAATAAACCTAACCAAAGAGGTAAAGGATCTATACTCTAGGAACTACAAAACACTCATGAAAGAAATTGAAGAAGACACAAAAAGATGGAAAAACATTCCATGCTCATGGATCAGAAGAATAAACATTGTTAAAATGTCTATGCTGCCCAGAGCAATCTACACCTTCACGCCATCCTGATCAAAATTCCAATGACATTTTTCAAAGTGCTGGAACAAACAATCCTAAAATTTGTATGGAACCAGAAAAGACTCTGAATCACCAAGGAAATGTTGAAAAAGAAAAAAAAAGCTGGAGGCATCATGTTGGTTGGTTTCAAGCTGTATCACAAAGCCATGATTACCAAGACAGCATGGTACTGGCACAAAAACAGACATATAGACCAATTGAACAGAATAGACAGCCCAGATATGGACCCTCAACTCTATGGTCAAATAATCTTCGACAAAGCAGGAAAAAATATGCAATGGAAAAAAGACAGTCTCTTTAATGAATGATGCTGGGAAAATTGGACAGCTATATACAGAAGAATGAAACTCAACTGTTCTCTAGCACCATACACAAAGATAAACTCAAAATGGATGAAAGACCTCAATGTGAGACAGGAATCCATCAAAATCCTAGAGGAAAACATAGGGAGTAACCTCTTCAACATCGGCCACAGCAACTTCTTTCAAGATATATCTCCAAAGGCAAGTGAAACAAAAGCGAAAATGAACTTTTGGGACTTCATCAAGATAAAAAGCTTCTGCACAGCAAAGGAAACAGTCAACAAAACAAAGAGGCAACCCACACAGTGGGAGAAGATATTTGCAAATGACACTACAGACAAAGGGCTGATAGCCAAGATCTATAAAGAACTTCTCAAACTCAACACCCAAAAAACAAATAATCAAGTCAAAAAGTGGGCAAAAGACATGAACAGACACTTCTCAAAAGAAGACATACAAATGGCTAACAGACACATGAAAAAATGTTCATCATCATTAGCCATCAGGGAAATTCAAATCAAAACCACATTGAGATACCACCTTACACCAGTTAGAATGGCAAAAAATTGACAAGGCAAGAAACAACAAATGTTGGAGAGGTTGTGAAAAAAGGGGAATCCTCTTACACTGTTGGTGGGAATGCAAGTTGGTATAGCCACTTTGGAAAACAGTGTGGAGGTTCCTCAAAAAATTAAAAATAGAGCTACCCTAATACCCAGCAATTGCACTCCTGGGTATTTACCCCAAAGACACAGATGTAGTGAAAAGAAGGGCCAGATGCACCCCAATGTTCCTAGGAGCAATGTCCGCAATAGCCAAACTGTGGAAAGAGCCAAGATGCCCTTCAACAGATGAATGGATAAAGAAGATGTGGTCCATATATACAATGCAATATTACTCCGCCATCAGAAAGGATGAATACCCAACTTTTACATCAACATGGATGGGACTGGAGATTATGCTAAGTGAAATAAGTCAAGCAGAGAAAGTCAATTATCATATGGTTTCACTTATTTGTGGAACATAAGGAATAGCATGGAGGACATTAGGAGAAGGAAGGGAAAAATGAAGGGGGGGAAATCGGAGGGGGAGACGAACCATGAGAGACTACGGACTCTGAGAAACGAACTGAGGGTTTTAGAGGGGAAGGGGGTGGGAGGATGGGTTAGCCTGGTGATGGGTATTAAGGAGGACACATATTGCATGGAGCACTGGGTGTTATACGAAAACAATGAATCATGGAATACTACATTAAAACTAATGATGTACCATATGGGACTAACATAACATAATAAAATTTAAAAAACAAATTAAATTAAATAAAAAAATACTGTGCGATCTCATTTGTATGTAGAATCTAAAAAGTTGAATACAGAGAAGCAGAGAGTAAAATGGTGGGTTACCAGAGGCAGGGAGGAGGGAGAAATGGGGGGATGGTTAAAGAGTAAAAGGTTACAGTT